ATGGCAGGAGGTCGGTATTACTGGACCCTTTATCAGTCCCTCTTGTGCTAGTGGAGTTAACTGGGCATTTCGAGTGTACTTAGATTGGACGAGCATAAGGACGGAATTCCTACGTGTTATTAGCTAAGCATACTTAGCCCGGTAAGGAGTTCCCATCTCGTTTTGTCTTGCACTTGCTAGTGACAAGAACCCTCGCGTATTGAGACTAGTCCCTCAATATCGCTACATGATAGCTTACCGTGTCTGCCAAACACCCTCGCTATCATGCCCTTTGTGTTAGTCTCATTTTGGTCCCAAATGCTATTTATGGAAAGTGTCCAGATTTGCTCATTTGGCATATCTACAGAATGTAGAGATCGGCCTGAACACAATGGTGTTCGTCCCGTGTCCAAATTCACAATCTAGGGACATTCCATAGTCTCTGGGACAAGCTCGAAACTTACTAAATAGGCTTGGGGTGAAAGCCCAAAGCGTGTGTTCCTCAAGGGGGGGGGGGGGCTATGGGGGGTTCCAAATGTATAGTAGGGATAGTGGGTAGGTCGGGCATGGCCGACCAACGTGAGGCATAGTCTAGCTCCCGCTTGCGTGCCTGTCCTTGTTCTGCGTCCGGCTTGGGTCTAAGCCCAAGTTCCATTCCATGCTAGCTGGTGGAGTACCCATATCCTCACGTTAGGCCACCGGTATGCCGAAATAGCGCCAGACTCCATTTGGCTCCGTTTTGCATGCTAGTTCTGGCATTGGGATGCTGGTTACTCTAGGACTGTTCCAAGTCTCTCCAGGCTCTTGTCCCTTTGCTCCTTGGGCTTTATGCTCGGGAGTTGCTCCGTGGTTCAATTCCACCACTCTTTAGCTTCACGCTTGGGAGTTTGGCACCGTTCCTTCGTTCAGTGGCCCAAGGCCCTGAACCTCGGGTTCCTATGGACACGTGGCATGGACACGTGGCATCTGTCACGTGGCACAAAGAGGGTTTAGGTTCTGCTTCGTGGTGTTATCCTATGGTAAATCACCATAGGATAAAAGGTAAAAACCACGTGCGCTACAGGCTGGGTGGTGTGTCGTCTTCCTTCAAGGCCCATAGGGAAAGTGAGAGAAAGCAAAGCAGGGCCAGGAAAGGAGGGGAACTACACCCATTTTCCATGCATTGTTCTAGCGTAGTAGCCAAGGATAATGCAAGTGACGGTCAAGGAGGTGCCAGCCAAGGGAGGGGGGAGGGGCGGAGGAGAAAGCAGACGTGGTGGTGGTGGTGGCGGAGGCTTTGTCGGACCCCCTCTTAGCACCTGGGGCCGTTATAGTACCGGGGTCGCAGCCGGCCCCCAAGGGGGGCCGCTGGTGGGTGCTTGGTCGTGCCACCAGCGCTGCCATCACTGGCAAGGCCAAAGGAAGGACTTGTGACATGGATGGCGATGGAGATGCTTGCAACAGCAGTCACCGGAACCATAAGTCTGCAGCACTAGTCGCTCCCTCCACTTCGTCTGGTGACAAAGAGAAAGAAATGAGAAACTATTCCAGAGACTTAGATATCCCCCATACCTGATTGCTGGCGCTTGGGAGTTGACGAGGAAGCAGAAGAGGAGAATAATCCAGACGTGGATGAGTCTCAGACCGAGTACTCATGTCCTTATTGCTACAAAGATTACGACATTGCTGTCCTTTGTTCGCATTTAGGAGACAAGCACTGCTATGAGTGCCTTTAGTTTCTGTGTGTTTGGTCTGTGCTGCTGCCCCGTGTTTCCTTCGGTTTTTCTTTTCTTTCTCTTGTTTATTGCAAGCGATGTGCTAAGTTCATCTAGCTGCAGGTCTGTCCGATCTGTGGAACCAAAGTTTGGAAAGACATGGCCAGCCACATAATGCTAGACCACAGTCAGCTTTTCAAGATATTCTTTCAAGTGTTTTGAAACATTTCAAAATCAGATAATTCTCCTTGACTACACATCCACACCCAGACACAGCAGCGTTTTCAAAGATCAGGAGCACTAGCATCAAACGCAACTTTGGCTTTGCTCATCAAGGAGCTTAGAGAGATCCATGTGCAAGCGTTCCACCGCCCAGTAACACAGTGGATCCGTTCCTCGCCACGCTCTGTGATAGCTCGCACGCAAGCCAATCTTCACACAGAGGGCATGGCATTGCTTCGTGCTTGTCTTGATTCTAATCTTCCTCTCCACACACAGGCTGGAGGTTGCAGCTTTGTCACTGAAGGAGCAGTGCGACAAACTAAAGGAAGCAAACTTGCAAGTCAAATTCATGCAAGAGCTTGTTATTTCCACTCTTTTCAACTGAAAGTTTTCTTCAGAAACCATTGACTTGGCTGCCTTGTGATTCTGCGTCCGCGTGAAGTGGTTGAGTGCAAACTTGCTTGAGAACATCATTCAACCCGCACTGCAACCTGCAAGGCACAGAAACTCAACAACAAAGAACGAAAGACAAGAACCAAGGTTGGCGACGTTACCTCCATGGCATATGATCCAGGAACATCGAGGGAGACACCACGAGGTCCCGGAAATCAACTAGAGAGAAATTCGTCACCTTGGACATTGCTCTTGAGTTTTTATCTCGAGATCCTACACTCAGGGAAGCAGCCATCCCGTCAGAACCATTCTCCCAGACGCCACCTTGGTCACCTCTAGCTTACCACTGTTACCATTAACAGCACCATTGGCTGTGGAATCAACTAGCCTTCCCATTACCACGGTCGAGCTGCCATGAGCGTCCTTGTCACAAGCATGGTAACAAAGAAAGGCTCCACCTTTGAGCTTGTGGCCGCAATTGCCATGCTTGTCCTGCATTGCTTCCCCACAACTTTGATTGTAGTCTTCATTAGTGGCTCCTTTGTTGGAAGATTTGCCTGTTCTCCACGAGCTGAAGAGCCTTCTGGCCACTCTTGCTATCACTGCCAGCTTCGAGGTGTCTGAGTCTGCTGCTAGAGCCCGAAGCAAGGCCACGCGGAGCCTCATTAGCGAAGCCATGGACATCCTCAATGCAAACTTGTCGTTATACACAACACTGAAAGGTGGTGGACTTTCAGGATAGGATGAAAGGAATCGTGAGCCTGCTTCTGCGATAACAGTGTCAACACAGGGAAGAACACCGTATCTGTAAGTGTGTAAGTTTGGAAAGCGGTGCCATAGCTGCTCAGAAAAAGAAAGAGATTGAAAAACAAGAGAGGAATAACTCCTGCATACGTACCATCACTCCCACCATAGAAGCAATCGATCCACCAAGCAAGTGTCCGGTAAGTCTCAGAGAAAAACCTTCACACTTCCCGCTGGGACCAAGTATGGAAATCAAAAAACCATATCTTTTTTTATGATCCAGAGCTACCTGCTAAAGAAATGAAATACATGAGCAAAGAGCAAGCCTTTTTTCTTTCAAAACCTGACAGCTTGGGATTATCTTCGGGGCTGTCTAGCTCAAAGGCAAGCTCTCTAGCTGCTGCCACCACACCAGCATGGTCATAGTGAGGATTTGATGACGAGATTTCATGTTTTGCTATGTCAGACAAATTACCTGATGTGCATAGAGTATCAAACTTGTAGGGAATGAGAGCAAAGTATAACCACTACTTGTAAGGAACCAACTCTCTAAGGTGTTGTAGGCTAAAGGATCCCTGAAAGCATGACCAAAATGATAAAGAGTTCATCGGATGGGACCGAGTCGAAGATAGAGTCCAAGGCCGACTCTGAGACCAAGTTTGAGATAGAGTTCGGGATCGAGTCCGAGGCTGAATCGGAGACCGAGTTCGAGATAGAGTTCGGGATCGAGTCCAAGGTTGAATCGGAGACCGAGTTCGAGACCGAGTTTGAGACAAAGTTCGAAATCCAAATCGGGTCCGAGAACGAGTCTGAGGTCGAGTCCGAAGTCGAGTCCGAGATCAGGTCCAAGATCGAGTCTGAGACCGAGTCCAAAGTCAGGTCCAAGATCGAATCCGAGATCGAGTCCGAGACCGAGTCCGAGACCGAGTCCGAGTACTAATATAGGTCAAGGGGTGAAAGCCCAAAGCATGCGTCTCCCCGTCTCCTAGGGGGGGGGGGGGGGGGGGGGGTTGCAGAGGGTTCCAAAAGTATAGTAGGGATAGTGAGGTCTAGGAACCAATCTTGAAGGAACTCTCCAGTGGTGCTTCCAAACTGACTTAAGGTTGAGACTGGGGTCGAGGGGCCTTGGGTGGGAGTGAGTAGAGACTTGGGTGGTGCCGGAGGGGCCACCCCAGGAAGTGCTCAAGAGTAGCTCCCACTCCCGAAAGGGAAACCGATTGCGGTGCTCTCGACTCATGTGGAGTGGTGCCCCACTTGAGTACCGTGTGGCTCATTGGTCTTTGCCCTTCCTAGGGGCTTGGGCCTTCCTTCGGGATGGAAGTGGGGGGGTGAAGGTACCCATATCGGGCCATTAAGCCACGGTGTTTTGCCCCAACGTCCCGAAGCAAATGTTGCACCCAAGACTTAGGATTTAGGGGGTCCCATAATCAAGTCTTGTGGTACCAAGGGGTGTTAGGAACCTGGAGGCTTGGTGTGCTTGGCTGCTTGTGCCTGCGGGGAGTGTAGTCGAACCTTAAGTCCAATCTAACCTGAGGAGGGGGATTGGGAGAGATTTGGGAATCCGTGGATGGATGGCTAACGCTCCGTTACTCGTGCAGTGAGTAGTTGAAACCAAGTAGGACCAAGTAGGAGCTGGTATCATAGGCGGGAACCTTGGCGAGAAAACTTAGCAAAAGTCAAGGTAGTGTTGGACGGATAGACGAGGTAAGCTGGCAAATTGGAAAAAAAAAATTTATGGCTTACACTACTACACAAGAGCATTATATTTCAACTACTTGGTATCAACTTAAATGTTAGTAGCAATTACAAATTTTATATTGTAATTTGACATATTCTTTAAAACTAAATAAGTTTATATATGTTGATAGGTAGAGCTGCAATTTACACACACTCTTATATCTTCTATAGATAAATCTTGACAAATTATACTTATATTCATAAGTATCAAATAAATCCAACAATTAAAACTTACTCCCCATATTTCAAATATTCCACAGCATTAACAAACCATGCATTTTCTTCCACCATCACCTGCATATGTTTGTCAATTATCCCAACAAGGCCTGTGATCTTTAACTTCTCATATATGCGCTTTCTTTTGTGGATCTTTGGAACACTCCCACACATTAAATCATCGTTCTGAAACACATTAATATCTGTAGTAAAACAGATAATCCATTTCAAAAGCCCTCCTTGATGCAAAAACTGTTTAAACTTTGTGACAGCTATCTCCTCAATTTGTGATCTTTCCTTAAAACCTTTGTTGTGCAAAAACAGATCATCAATATCTAACCTGTCCAAAGCAATTATCAAGTTAAGTCAAAGAACAAATCATCAATGTCTAACCTGTCCAAGGCACTTGTCAAGTCTGTCTTCGACCTAACTTTGTGTTGATATAGCGAGAAGACAGGAACTTGCTTCTCTCCTACCTTGCTGATGCAAGCAGCAATCATGTCAGGTCCAAATCTAATAACATTTCCACTATAAAAAAAAGGCCGAAAGGATTCCTACAACAAAACAAATTATTCCACAATTGAAAAATCAACAATGCAAGGAGAATACCTGTTGCTTTCCTTGTAAAACCACCTCAAACTGCTCAAGCCATGCCAGAAAGGTCATCCCATTGTCCTCTTCAGGCATTTGCTGTATCATCTCACAGTTGTTTGACCTTGGCACTTGTAGAGGATGCTTGTAGACCGGATCCACTTTTTCCTTGTACACCTTTGGGATAAAATCCACTGGTGCCTTATTCTCCAAAAACTGCAGAAGCAAGGGAGCGGAATACGGTTCAAACTTCACCCCTAGCTCTGACTTGCTGCAAACACCCATATCATTGATCAGCTTCTTCTGCACATCTACACTGGCTGTGAGATAGTTCCACAAAGCCCTCACTACAAGCGGTTCTCCAATCTCAACAGTTCGAAGGGAAACCTGTGCTGCATTCTGAGGAGCAGCTGAGCAGAAATCTGTATCCGGTTTGAAATGCAAAGGCTGGTAGCTGCTCTCCCCAGTCCGTCTCAGCCTGCCGATCCCTGCTTGTACAAATCTCAAATCACTGTCCGTGACTGCCAGGCTTACAGGAACTCCCGTGTACACCCGCAGCAGCAATAAAGTTATGACCACCTCCCAACACCCAGGATGGAATGATGGTAGTGCAAAGAACTTCACAACATCGTCCCACACAGATCTGTTGATGGAGAGGGCAGGGCCTGGTCGCCTACACAAATCATCTGCCTTCTTCAAGAAATAGTCTGTAGCGACCAATCGTTGCTCCTCTGAATCCCGTAAGAACATCTGTAACACTGTCACGTAAAACCTGTATCTGCCTCTGTAAACACCAAAGATCGTGCTGAAGTCGAAATCACACACGTCTTTCACAAACTTCACTGTGTACTCCTTGATAGATTCGGCACTAGAAAAATGCCCAAAGTCAGAGTACACATAATAGCTGAGTTTGTCTTTCACGGTCTCTGAAAGGGAGTCTAGCATCCGTATCAAATGCCGGCCTGTCCCAGATATTATGGTATTTTCGAACTTCATGTCACGCAGAGCCAAGGCGAGCTTGTCTAGCATCGACAGGTTAACGTCACTCACAGTCAGGCCCCTAAACCTGTTCTCCAGCAAATGTGATAGTTCTTGGCATTCGTCTATTACCACAACGCCCTTATCATCCCAGCGTACCTGTCTTTTAAGCTCATCGAGAATGTCAGGAAAGATGTCGCTTGCAGCTTCAATGTCGGATGAATTCCGGATCAGACTGAGTATTCTCCTCGTCAGCTCCCTCCATGGATCACGCCATGGATAATTCAAGTGTGAAAAGTATAGCTGCACAACACAAACAATTTAGCTCCCTCACAAACCAAACACGAATCTTACTTGCTTAAAAAGCCAGACGAGCCGGGTAACGTCGATGCCTGCAGAGCGAGCTTCTCTCAAAATGTAAAACCTCGATATGAAAACTGCTGTAAGGCACACCATTAAGGCGTCTTCTGGGATGACTCCCTCGGGATACAAGCGTCCCAATTCTGTTGCAACGTGATAAAGATCTCGAGAACCTTCATCCCCTGATCCGCTCTCCGTAACACCCGTCAAGTAAATGGAGTCCCTCTGACAAGATATTTCGTAGAGCGTCCTTGTTTTGCCACTGCCAGAAGCATCAATCAAGAAGCAGAGGTCTGTATCCCGCAGCTTCCCAAGCACCTCTGACGCAGACCCGATATAATCTCCATCCTCCAGCCCCTCTAGTAACAGAACCGCCCTGCCTTTTAAGGTACATAACTCCTTGCTGCTACGAGAATAAGAGTGCTTAAAATATTGCTCTGGAGGCATGGAAGGAAGACGTTCCTTCACCCGTTCCCAAACTTCAGCACAGACGTCTTCAACGTTCTTCCGGGTTAGTGCCCCTGGAACAGCGATGGCCACAGAATTAAACACAGCCAAAGGGCAAACAGGATCGAACAGGACCACAAGGATGCGGAGATTACCACACAGAGAGTAACACAAGACAGATGTCAGGAAGCAAAAATCCCTACATGGAAGCCAGAGCAGGATCCTGACCAGAAGTAGTCCAGTGGAGCAGGAAAACTTGAAACGCAAAACCCAGCTCTAAGCCGAAGAAGACACAGACAGCATTAATACAACGCAAGGGAAGCAGATGGCCGTGAATTTAATTACAACCACAAGCCAGACACAAGCACCCAAGAACAACCTTGAAACCCTATAGACATCCGCCGATAGGAATGGGACTTCCGACATGGATGCATGTGCAAGGAAACAAAGGGCTTTCACAAATTGCTTACCAGATCTGCGGATTCCATGGGGCACTGCAACATTCACAACATAACAAAGTTAGTATAAAAAACTATCAATAAACATGGCCAGAAGCCATAGCCATACAAGGATGACTAAGGATCCACAAGGGAGTATGCGTCAGCATAGCCAACCTATGACTTACCATTACTTCTGAGGAGGAGGAGTTTTTCCTCCCGCAGCTGTTCTTCCTTCTTCCGCAGCTGCTCTTTCTCATTCCGCAGCTGCTCTTCCTTCTTCTGCAGCCGCTCTTTCTCCTTCAGCCAGTATTCCGCCAGAGATTGATTGCCACTCTGAAGGGCAGAGAGAAAAGATTCCCCAACCGCTTGGATCTGCGGCTCAAGAAGCGCGATTTGAGCCTGCACCTTAGCCAATTCCTCGTCCATTTTGGTAGCTGAAACCCTTTCTTGAAACCATCTTGTATGGAATCGTCAGGAACCGCACGATCTTCATCCGACGGCCTGGTGTTTTAGACCATTAACTCAATTATAAACACAGCCACACTTTTGTTTGTTTAAGCGATTTTACAGTTTTGTAGGGTCTTCCCATGCGCTGGCCACCAAAGTGGAGAATGTTGCCAAGGCCATCCTATCCACAATCACCTCTTGTACCACACTGTTTTGTTTTCCCTCTGTAGATTCTAGAGCTCCAGGCGAGTGGGGCGAGATCCAGAGCCCAAGCGTGCAGACAAGATGGATTTGGCTGTTCTGGCAGAAGAAGCTATGGAGGTTGATATTTCCTCGGCTCCTCTAGGCTCCTCCACCCTTGGACGAAGATGGTGCCGTTTGTGCACTCTCCAAAGCTCTTGTCCTCACTCCACAGCCTGGCGAGGTCGTCTCCCCAACGAACTCCTTGATCACACAGTACCAGTCAGAGATTGATCGCGTACTCAAGAGCCAGGGAGAAGCTGACAGACTGCATCCTGTAGCAGTACCAGCAACTGGAATCCGACAAGTCGCTGCTGCCACCACTGCCATCTTCCAACTCGTCCAAACAATCGCTGGAGTGTTGTGATGTGAAAAGGGATGGACATAACACTCATGAGCTCGTTCATTGTGTTCCGACTCTTTTTACATGACTCAAGGGACATGACTCATACCACGTGGACATGCCATGTCAGCTGATCGAGACTGACATCTTGACACTCCCACTCTGGCTGGATCAGCTGAGAGGATGGACTACCCCTCCCACTCAGCCGAAACAGATGGAGAGCAGACTCCCAGTGCAGCGCGATGCCATTCAAACTGTTGTGGTTTTATTGAGATTGAATTCTCTAGATCGAAACAACCACCAAAAGAAAAGAATTAACCGGATGTGTCTCCCTACGTGATGTGCCAGCCATGTGGCTGTCCACCTACTCTAACAGTCCCACTCGGACAGACACCTAAGGCTGCACAGAACTGGGAGAACTTCGGCGTGGACAATGGCTTTGTAAGCACATCTGTGGGCATGTCCTGTGTGGGGCAGTAGCTAAGCTAGATTACCCCATCTTCGAACTGGTCCCATAAGAAGTGATGCATTGTGTCCATGTGTTTTTTCTGGGAATTAATTTTGCGATGTTTACTCAAGGCTATGCAGCATTGATCATCGCAATAGATTAGTGTTGATTACCAAAGTTGTAAGGAACCAACTCCCCAAGTTGATGTAGGCTAAAGGATCCCCGAAAGCATGACCAAGACCAAGTCCGAGTACTAATACAAGTCGAGGGGGGGGAGGGGGCTGCGGGAGGGGGGGTTCCAAAAGTATAATAGGGATAGTGAGGTACAGGAATCAGTCTTGAAGGAACTCTCTAGTGGTGCTTCCAAACTGACTTGAGGTTGAGATTAGGGGTTGAGGGGCCTTACTAAACATGGACTTGGGTGGTGCCGGAGGGGCCACCCCAGGAAGTGCTCAAGAGCAACTTCTACTCCCGAAAGGGAAACTGACTGCGGTGCTCTCAGCTCATGTGGAGTGGTGCCCCATTTGAGTACCTTGCAGCTCATTGGTCCTTGCCCTGCCTAGGGGCTTGGGCCTTCCCTTCGGTTTAGGGTTTAGGGTAAGTGGGGAGTAAGAGTACCCACACCAGGCCGTTAGGCCATGGTGTTAACCCCCGGTCTCCCGAAGCAAGTGGTGCACCTAAGGCTTGGGATTTACAAGTCTTGTTGTACTAAGGGATGTTAGGAACTTGGAGGCTTGGTGTGCTTAGCTGTTTGTGCCTGCGGGGAGTGTAGCCGAACCTTAAGTCCAGTCTAACTATGAGACATCAAATCCCTAGGCCCCAAAGTGGAGCCAAAATGGTGCCACGTGGTAGTGGCCAAAGCGAAAGCCAAATGAGTGTAACACGTTTGGACTAAAAGCTCCGACTTGAATGGTCGAGAGCGGGAGTAGAACTCCCAACAAAGTGCTCGAGGAACAAACATGAAGCAAGCAATAAGTGAGTCTCTAAAAAAGGGACACGAGATGGACCTGAGATGGAGTCCGAGATGGACCCGAGATGGAGTCTGAGATGGAGTCCGAGATGGACCCAAGATGGAGTCCGAGATGGAACCGAGATGGAGTCCAAGATGGATTCGAGATGGAGTCTGAGATGGACCTGAGATGGAGTCCGAGATGGACTCGAGATGGAGTCCGAGATGGAGTCCAAGATGGACCCGAAATGGACCCAAGATGGAGTCCAAGATGAACCCGAGATGGAGTCTAAGATGGAGTTCGAGATGGAACCGGGATCGAGACCGAGACCGGGACCGAGACCAGGACCGAGACCGAGTCCGAGTCCGAGGTGTGGGGGTTGGAGCCCAGTGGAGCTAGTTTTTTTCCCAGGAAGGCCATACCCAGCTGTTGGGTGATGGGATGACCACTGGGAAGTCCAAGACTAGAATGAATACGGACAGACAAGCGGGGTAGCTTGGTGAAGTGTTCAAGAGCCAGCTTTAGTTCCCTTGGGAGATTGAATGGTTGATGCTCCCAGTCCAAGTGTGGGTGGCACTACCTACTTGGATACCTAGTGTGGCTCAATGGAACCTCGCTCTAAGCCTATGGCTAAAGCACCCAAGTACGGAAGGCGGGGAGAGTACCCAGGTGGCTCATGTAAGGCCACGATGTTCCGAAATGTTGCTCCAAAGTCCCAGATTGTGGAAAAGAAGAGGAGTAGACCTTTAGCGTAGTGGCTAAGGATATAATGACATGGTGAGGAAGTCCTAGAGGACATTGGGACTTAGTGGTTGGGCCTGTGGGCCTTGACCCAGTGGCAGTGTTGGTGAACATAGCCATGGGTAGGACGGGACTTAGTGGGGATTGAAAGAGGGATATTGGGGAAGGTTGTTCCCCTTGTCAGTGGGCATCCTAAGGATGCTAAGGAGTGGATCTGGGATGACCACTTATGGATGGTTGGCTCAGTCTTGGAAAGATAGGATTGTGATGTAAGTAGTATTGGACCACCAGTGCGGCGAAGGTGATTGAGCATAGCCTTAGCATAATAGGCTGCTCTGTCAGTGGTACCTTTGAGTGTCGGTCATATGATCGGACACATGGAGCACTTGGACCAAGTGCAAAGGTTGAGTGGCAAGGATGCCATTCTCAGGGCTAGCCAGCCCCAGTCCAAAATGGGACTTATGGAGGTTGTGAGTGAGACTCCTCCAATTAGTCGGAGGTGTGGTTAAGTGACTAAAGTAGAATGGAAAATTTAATCGCTTACACTAACCTGAGGAGGAGGATTGGGAGAGTTTGGGAATCCATGGATGGATGGCTAATGCTCCATTGCTTGTGCAGTGAGTAGTTGAAACCAAGTAGGACCAAATAGGAGCTGGTACAATAAGCGGGAACCTTGGTGAGGGAAATTAGCTAAAGCTAAGGCAGTTTTCATTGGATAGATGAGGTAAGCTAGCAAATGGAAAAGGAAAACTTTGTGGCTTATAATTTGGTATCGAAGCCTTTTCCTCAGTTCTAGCAAAGGATAGAGGCAGATTGCTGGGAGATGGCAAGGACAGGACATAAACAAACAAAGGCGGAGACGGGACTACCTCCGGAGCTGGAGCCTTTGGTCGAACAAGAACCTATATATGAGAAATCCTTGCACGAGGAGGACTCCAGTGAGGATACTTCCAAACAGGAGTCTAGTGGGGAGGTTCGGTCGTCCAAGGCTCGATTGGACGTTCTAGAAGGACAATTGGCTTAAACTAATGCCCTACTAGAGACTCTTGTACGCAAGCTAAAGTGTGACAAGAAGCCGAAGAAAAAGCAAAAGATTGCGGATGCTGGCAACACAGAAGGTGCGGACCCTTCAGCAGGGACTGAGGCAGAACCAAACAAGGTTGAACAGACCGAAGTGAAATCAGTCCCTCAAGCAGTTCCCAAGTACAAACCAAAGCGCCCACCAGTCTTCAAGGGAGTGAACGACTATAAGGTGGTGGAGGATTGGTTTTATGATATGGAGGGCTACTTCCGAACGTTACAGTTACCGAGCTTGGAGAAGGTCCCATGTGCAAAACCATACTTAGCAGATAATGCCAAGTCTTGGTGAAGAACGGCAGAGGCCAACGAAGGACTGGTGGCCACTTGGGACATAATTAAGGCGAGGATCCGCGCGATTTACGTTCCTCCGAATGCTACTCTGCATCTAAGAGATGAGCTGAGTAAGCTGAAGCAAACTGGAATCATTCAGGAGTATGTGAATGGGTTTATGGCAAAGAGGATACTTGTTACAGATATGGGTGATATGGATGCGTTCCATGCCTTCATATCAGGCTTGCAAACTTGGGCTTGCAGTGAGGTGATGCGTTGAAACCCGACCAACTACAAGGAAGCATTGGATGCAGCTATCAAGGTGCATTTCAATAATAACCTGCAAAAGGGGAACACGACGGGGTTGGGGTCCACGTTTAGCGAAGGGGCCAAACCAAGGGGAACGATGGCAAAGGGAAATTCTCAAAATTCTTAGAGAGTTTCTCTAAGAATGAGTCCTCGGAGTTCCGGAAAGGCAGATCTGGTGGCCAGCGAGTGAGTATGTGGGGGAGTCAAGCAAAAAGAGACAAACCCACAGATAAGAAGGGCAAGTTAGCTAATAGCGTGAGAAACAACATATGCTACAACTGTGGTGAAGCGGGACACTTCTCGAGGAAATGTCCCTACTCAAAAAAGGCCAGAGCCAATATGGCCATTAAGTCGGGTGAAATCCAAACTAAGGTATGTGATCTAGTCCCTAGCTCAAAGTTACTCATTACATGAGCAACTTTGGTAAAGAGTTGTTTGTGAGATGTACTAGCCCTCCGAGGGAAGTTCGGAGGTAGCTTTGTTAAGATCCTTATTGACACGGGTGCTTCGGATAATTTTGTGGCTATAGACATAGTCTGGCAAGCCAGACTAACAGTGCATACTTCAACAAGCAAGAGTCAAAGTAGGGACATTGAAA